AGACTCAATTGAAGACATTTTATTCCAAGGTTGTGTCAACATGGAAGCAGTAAACATACAGCTGGGTGGAACACAAGACCACAGAGGTAAACACAGCAACAGAACTGGACAGAATTCAGACGTATTTGATGTGAAAACAGGAAGTCTGAAATTATAAACTCCCAAAAAAAGTTTGCTCAATTTCATCACTTAAACTCACAAACCAATGCAACCAGGTTTTGTCTGGGTTCAGATCTGCTGCATAATTAAATCTTAAGCATCTGCGCAGGAAAAAAACAACCAAAAAATACAAGCATACAGATAAGGGGAAATACAGAAGGCATCACAAAGTACAAAAAATAAACTTCACAAGACAAATCTCCTCCAGTGGATCCGTATGGCTTCGTCAAAGTACAAATCAAGGTAGAAACGCGAAACAGATCTTTAAATGGTCCCGTCAGAGTTAAATGTGTCCATCAGTGTTCTTCACTGGCAAAAAAAAAAAATCCAAAACTTGAGTCGTCCCTCAGCTTCATCATACAGTAGAACTCTGAGCGATATGGCTAGTTTGGTCTCTGTCATCATATTTACAGCTTGTGTGAGCAGTTGTATCTCCACAATGTGATCCGCAGGACTTTGTACTTTTATAGTAAGAAAAAAAGAATCCATAAGAAAACTCAAACACGATTTTCTCGATTCACAGAAAATGTCAAAATTACACAGTTTAGGTAGAAACAACTTTTATATACAGTAAATTCTCTTTGAAACAAATGATTGAGACCAATGATTTTACAAGACTTTCTACTTAAGACCCCCCTCCAGTGAAAATGTAGTACACATGTATATTTTTATATACATACAGTATTTTATAGAAGCTAAAAAAAACAAACCCTTCTGCAGAATTGGTCTCCTGTTCGAACAAGTTCCCCTCAATTCTTCCAATAATTCAACTTTCCATTGTGTAGCACAGACTAGTTTTACAGAGCAGAATCGAAGGTGAGCTGGTGTGCTGAGCTGCAGTTAGCGAGGCGGGGCGATTGTACAAAGAGGCGGGGACTTCGGAAATCATACAAAAGGAAGCAACGGTGTTAAAAAATGTCCATTTAAGCCAGTTTAAGGCAGGAAGGTTCTTATTTTAACGGGAAAAAAACAATCTAAATATGCGACTATAACACACAGACATGAGTTTTTAGGGCGTTTAAATTACTATTCTCGTCGTTTTCTTGTAGTTCTAAACTGATTCACGGTAACAGGCAGGACTTGTTCAGGGTTCATAGAGTTTGTCAGTGAAAAACTGAATTCAACCCTAAAAAAAAACATTAGCATCTCAAGTTTTTCATTTCTGTATTTGAAACATGAACTGACCCCCAGTAGAAATTACCTTCATCTCTATTCGGGGTCGACCAATGTGGTGTTTTGTCGCTGATACCGATTATGAGTACTCAAGGAGAGCGACTAATAATTTGAGCAGCTGATGTACATCTGTGGTTAGAATGAAACCTTCGAATAACACAAACTTAGTTTAAATACCATTGTTTATATGTTGTACGTATTTTTAATTCAACACAAACTTGCACCAGCATCTATTTCTTCTTCTTCCTCTTCTATTATCGTTCAGTGTTGGTATCCTATCGTGGTGTTTAACCAATCCGACAGTTTTTACTCACTGTGGGCTCATTTTTCGCTGCAATATAAAGTCCTGCACCTCTACTGAAACAGCACAGGCATGGCTAGAAGTGGAGAGAACTCAGAAACAGAAGTCTTATTCTGTGTATAATGCTATAAATCTTGAAAAAATAGAAAATTGAAGTCGAATATCTTTGATTAGTTATTGTGCAAAAAAAAAAAAACTGCATTAACAACACCGCCCAAGTGCCCACAGGTGGTACCATTACAGGAAAAAATGGACACGCCACATACTTTAGATGTTTCAATTTCTACATTTGTATTTGTTTCCACTCTTGTTTTCTATCTGCTCTGTGTAAACACTGCCTGCAGTTCAACCCTTTTCAGCTTAAAGTCCCTGATTTCTTTTAGTCTCATGACTGTTGGTCACAACTGAGTCACTGATGGCTTCATGGTTGCACTGAGGAACACAGATTTATTTTTCTTTTTTGGTTATTTTTACAATGGAATGGTGCTTCACAGATACGACAATCAAGGTCAATTGGAAAGTTCAAAATCTAATGATTCTCTTTGTTTTTACAGTTTCTGGCTCGAATAAATTGGCAAGTATTGGGGATAATATCGGATCAGACGATTGGTCGACCCCTAATTCCTCTATAATACACCAAACCAAACAATGAAAATACTCCGAAGTGCCATTTTTGTTTGATGTAACACAGGCTTTGCTTTGTTGTCGGAGTAAAGAGAAAATCCTTATCAAAAAAACACAATCCTCTCTTCTTCACCACATGAACCTTTGCGTAGCTGTGCTGTCCGGCCAGCGGAAGGTCTTGGTGATGAAGATGTAAATAGTGGCAGCGTTCACGGCCGTGTACAGCAGGAACTCCACAACGAGTCTGGGAAGCGAGGGCAGAGGCATGTGGAGGCGGTACATCAGGTACGGAACGATGAAGTACCTGAACTCCAGGAGCTTCTGGGGGACCGTGGCGGCCAGGAGGCACGCCAGGAAGGCCAAGCTCCAGAAGAGCGAGCGCGACTTGAAGGAGTCCAGGAAGTTCCACCCGGCGAAGACGTACGCCGGGACGAGGAGGAAGCGCACCAGCTCGTGCCTCTGGAAGAGTTTTTTCCACACGTAGAAGGGGAAGTGGCGGTTGTCTGCCAGCAGGTACTTGTGCACGAAGGTGAACTTCCAAATCAGGAGCAAAGAGACGCCGGTGACGAAGAGGAAGAAGACAGGTTGCTTCTTCATAGCCTGCAGGAAGCGGAGGACGCGGTGGTAACACAGCGAGACGGGGAGGGAGAAGAACAGGGAGAAGCAGAAGAAATAAAAGAGCTGTGGGAAGTTCAGGCAGGCCTCGTGGCTCGTCCTGTCGCCGACCACGATCCCATCATTCAGCAACACGAACGCCAGGAAACCAACGCCCACCGCTGCGTAAGGCCACGCCACCAGCAGCACGGCCTTCACGTGATTTGGAGAGGTGAGGAACTCCAGGGTGAAAAGGATGATCTTCTTGGCTCCACTAAGCGACAGAGGAACCTGCGACGGCGGAGACTTCTCATCCCTCTTTTTCGAGTGCTCCACCCTCCAGGCCTCGTCCATCTTGGCGGCCACCAGGGTGCCGGCGCAGAACGCCACCCAGATGATGTTGGTCTGGCGGAAGAGCACGGAGCAGACGCCGAGGAGCGCAGCGGCCTTGTGGCAGCCGTAGAGCGTCATGAGGTAGGTGAAGAGGATGAAGAAAGTAGATCCGGCGTCGGTGTAGTAGAGGAAGTTGAAGAAGTAGAGCACAGGGAAGGTGGAGAGAGACAACGCTGAGAGGACTCGACGTGACGTTGTTCGATTCTGGAAGAGAAGTAATGCCACCTTAGAAAAATGACAAACAAGAGTGTTATCAACTTCATCGTCCCGTCTTACCTTCTCCCTGAGGTGCAGCTTGCAGATGAGCAGGTAGATCAGGTAAAGGTTGCCGCAGTTGAACAGCAGGTTGATGAAGCGCAGCATGGCCGTGGAACACACCACCTCGCCGGTCAGGTCAGCGAGCCACACCACAGGCTTGATGACTCCCACGGAGGCGAGGTAAAGGCCTGGCAGCGTGGTGATCATCGGGTCCCACTGCACAAGTTTCAGCCGAGTTAAAGGGGCGTTTAAACATTTTATACATCAAGATATGTTTGCTTGATGTGTGAAAAAAGTCGCATTAAGTCTTCTGTAGGTCAAATGGTGTCTTCAGGCTAGTCTGTGTTGCAAAACAGGGATCTTTACACAATCAAAATCCAGACCAACTGATTTGCAGAGGTTCAGGATTCCTGCAATTTGAGGAGCGAGTGTTGTTTAGCTCATAATTGTGAGGTTGATAGTAACTCAATAGCTCCATCTGTTGGCAGGGATGCCGTGGTGCATCGTGGTTTCTCTGTAGGTGGACATGCTTTGTTATCATTTATGAGTATGAGTTTCAGTGTCGTGATGCAGTGACTAATCAATTATCAATCATTCACAAACTATTTTCAGAATTGATTAATTGGTCTGGCAACAATTTAGGGGGGGAAGTCAGAATCCTGAGCTTCTTAAAAAGGTCCTGCATGGTGAAAAACTATTTTTACTATGTGTTGTATGTCTTGAAGGTGTTAAATAAACAATGTGAGAATATGAAGTGCTTCTGCTCATTCATGCTATGCTAAGAATACATGCTAACCAGCAGTCACTTCAGAACCAGTTCCAAACTGCGGCTCCTCATCACTGAATTACTGATTTTATAACCACAGTGTTGTCTGACGTACTCACATTATACACAAGTTAAACACAACAACTGTGCTGCGAATGCTGTGAAACTGAGCTGTGAATTTCTCCAACAAGGGATCATTGAAGTTTATCTTAAATCTGTGATATTTCCATACAAAATGAACGCACAGGCAGAATGTTGTAGGTGATAGAAACTTATGGTGTCACACACTCATTCACAGGTGCTGCTGTACAATCAGTTGTTTTGCTCTGGGCTGCCAGTCACAAGTCTTCTTCCTGAAGGGGACGTGGACAGCTGCTGCTCAGCTGCATTTAAAGCTACAGACACTAAAACCAGGAGTTATATAGTGATGGAGAAATTAATCATTTTGAATTTGTTTTAGGCTACAAACACATTCTGGAGACATGTAGGACTGTCATTAATTTGCTCAGAAGGGGCACAATATGGGTCAACACACTATTTATTTAACCCATTTGTTGTGTTCGATTGTATACATTACAGAGTCATTAGTAATGTAAAGGTTTACGGGATTAGAAAGGACATTAAAGAGGAAATAAAACTCTCGTTTGATCCTTTAAGCTTCACTTTCCTGACTTGTTCTCGTCAAAGCTGGACGACGTGAAACACCACAACCCCTGACTAAAGCCACTCTATATGTCCGACGTGGAGATTAAAGCCTCTCCAAGCTGCCTCATCGTTTAGTTCCATGACAAAAGCCTGGCTGTTAGCTAGACCTTAATCCGCCTCACAATGACACTTTGATGGCTACCGTGAAATGGAGAAACCCACTTTACCTCGTTGAACTTCCCGTGGCAGTACTTCTGAGCCTGGGGGACGTGAAAAATCTCGTCCATGTACGGTTCCCTCTGCTCCCGGGTAACTTTGGAGAACAGCAGGCAGGATACCAAGAAGTTGGTGCTGCAGAGAGCAGTGAAGATGTAGCCTTCAAATTTCTCCATGTTTGACGAGGAAACAAAAACAAAACAAAAAAAACACCGACGTCAAGTGAATTCAGTCCCAAAACTAGCTGTCGTGCGGGTGTGTATCACGCATAGCGATTAAATTCCCGCATTTAAGCGATCAAACTGTTTGAATTCAGAGAGAAACTGGCTGTTATCTGTTCAGTGTAGCTAAACGGAAGAGTTTTGATTTTTGACAGCTGGCGGTGCGCTTTGGAAAAACACTCGGAACGGAAACTCTTGTGCAAGCATTAGTTCCGGGGTTGTGCTAAAGACTTTCGCCTTGTATATTTTTTGAAATAAAATATTAATTACCATAAAAAAAACACATGATTCATTGTAGTAGATAAGATTAATAAATTTTGTTTAAAAAACATTTCTCCAACTTTTTTTTTTTTTTTTTTCCCCCGCAAGGACATTTCCTGTCAAGCGGTGTCACACTGTTATGGTTCCCCCGTCGTGCGCAGACCTCACGTGAAGCAGGGCGCTAGCTGCTAATTGTTTTGTGATTTTCTTGGATTTGTTTGGTTTATAAATTTCAACATGAATCTAACACAAGACCTGGAGCTTTTTCCCGGCCACAGAGTGACTCAAATGCTTTTCAAAGAGGTTAAAAATGCGGCAGAGTTACGACAAAGTGCCGTCGAGGGTAAAATAAGTGGGGCTTTGATCAACCCAACTATGGTGAGCAGCTTTTTAATGTTGGTTTTAGCTTTTCTTTTGTCTCTGTGTTGTATTGTGTAGTTATTAGCTAATACTCGTGATATTTCCCTTAAAAAACAACAGGAGCAGGTACATAAAACCTGGAACTGCTCAGGTATTTCATTCAAGCATAACTTCATTTACTTTATCACACTTTGTTTTCATTCCCAGCTGGTGGATCCTTTGCAAGTGCTGGTAGCTGCCAACAAAGCGGTTCATTTACAGACAATTGGAAAAATGAAAACCAGGAGTCTCTACTCAGAGATCATCTTCAACCTGTCACCTACTAATAATGTAAGTAACATGAACTGTGCTGGTTTTGTTCTTTCCTGCTCAGTCACCATAAATAATGACACATCCAGCTCAACATCATCTGCGGTGTACCACAAGGTTCAACATTAGGCCCATTTTTTATTTTCTTTTTTTAATATATGTATTTGTGCTTTCTCTTGGCCAAAGTATCAAACAGCATGGTACATCTCTTAATTGCTGTGCAGACTGGGGCTGAATGATTTGGGAGGAACATTTAATTGTGATTTTTTTTTTCCTGAGGTATGTAGTGATTTGCAGTAACATTTTAGTTTAATGTTTTTTCAAGTGAATAGTACTGAAGCAGCTCTGGTTCGATATAAATATGAAAACACCCTTTACATCAAAACTCCTTGATTTAAGTGCGGCCTTATACTGTCTGATATGACTCTCGTGTTCTGTTTTGAACTGGTTAGAATCTTACCGATAGAGATTTTTTTAAATTGGTATTTTTTTTTCTTCATTTTGTTTTATAAGGCACTTTAAAACATGCATTCTGCTTTGGTGCTATGCAAATAATGTTGGACTGTCTGGTTGCGTAATAGATTTCAGACATGATAAATCATTACCATACAAGACGCCATGAAAATATTAACTGCTCCATATTCTAATGCGAGGATGAGATCTTCGAGATATAAATTGCTTTAAACATGTATGCATTACATTGTAAAATGATATATTGAAATGTGTGTAGTACTAATAAAAAATAAAATAATTCAAATTAGAAAAAAAACAGGACTTTTTCTCTAAATATCTGTGACACTGGAACAGGTCGGTCATTCGTGGTTTAAGAGAAGCATCGAGTATTGCACATTCTGAAATCAACTTAATTAACTTTGATTTGAAAAATTGTTCAGCCCTGATCCAGGTGACTTTTTATGTTACTGCTCATTTACGTTCTGAACAAATCAGACTTTATTATAGAGACATTAGTATCATCACTGTCATGCTTTAATGTTAAATTGTGCTGTTGCCTATCTAGAATTGAAAGTGTTTCTTTGCACACAACGTGCAAGCCTTTAACTTTCTCTGGCTGGATACTGACGATAGATCTACTTGTAAACTTTTCATATGGTTCACTCATACAGATCTCGGAGGCCTTCAAAAGATTTGGGATCTCGGATGGAGATGAGTCCGTCATGGTTGTTGTGGTCCACAAGAAGGACGAGGTGCAGCTTCTGTCAGACGTCACAGCCAGAGTGGACGGACGGCAGGTTCCAGCGGAGGATGTTTCCTCGTTGTCGGACTCTGCCAAGATCAAAAAGGTTCCTACTTTTGCTTTTATTTATGTCACTCATTCCATGTGTGGATATTTAAAAAAAATGTTTTAAATAAGATGTTTAAGATGCAGGTTGCAGATAAAACGGTGATAAAATTATTCGTCTATTACATCTAAGCGTTTGTTTACATATTACTTGATGGATTTAAGGAGCATTTTTCTAAATCTTATTCCCTTTTTTCAGCTTTACAAAGTCGCTCCTCAGGAAGACAAATGTGGGACTCTGCTTGACGCAGTTATCTGCAGAATGGCCACCAAGGACGTCATGTAGCGCCGTCAGATGTAAGGACATAAAACTGACACATTCTCAAGGAAAGCTTGTTGTATTTCTGTTAAGACATTAAGAATGGGTTTACTGTTTTTAATACACTCTAAAGTTAAAAGCCTCCTGCAACCATTGTCCATCTTGCAGTCAAATCTGTCAACTCCAGCTAAATTCATGCTTCATGTATACTGAGCTCCCAGCAGAGCAAAATATATCTTATTTTTCATAACTCTTTGCGTGAACCTGTCATTATTTTATCTTGTTTTTATCAGTTCTCCATCATTATTAGACAGCGACACGTGTAGGAAAAGTTTCAGAGGCAGTCGGGGAAGTTCCTGCAGAGTTCCAACAGCAACTTTTCATGTTTGTCGCTCCTTTGATCTTTTTCTGTGACAGTTATTTTTGGCTCAGAAAGCCGAAGGTGGGCTCTCAGCGGTTTGACAGTAGGGAGACAGTGATGTAAAGCTGGTCTCATGCCAGCAGTGCTGAATAATGAATTCCAAGTGCTTTGGGCCAAATATTAGCAAGCTCTCCAGAGGATTAAAAAAATAACGTCCCACATCCACAGCACTGACATGAAAGATCTCAAATGAAGCCAAACACTGTCAGCCTCGGAAGACAAGAATAATAAATGCACTGGTTGTCTAAAACATTGAAATGTGGCTTTGGACAGGTCTCTGCTTTGTTCTTTGACACTTGAGCTGTTTTTCATCTCAAGTTTAATGAACTTTAACATTTGAAAGTAGAAAAATGTCAAAGCATCACATAACTTGGATGTTTACTCTCATTCTCAATACACTCATTGTTTCAGTTCATTTTCACCTGCATACTTAATATAATCAAGGCAGTATTATAATCAAGAGACTGAATCTGCATACACGAAGGAAAATTACACTGAAATGTTTCTGCTTGATTTGTTGCACTTTAAAGGTTTCTTACGAGAGTTAGTCACTGAAAATTTGTGAAAAGGTCTTTCAAAGCTCGTAGATAAACTCCATCATGATTCATTTCTACATTTGAAACAAGTATGTTTTACCAAATTAGAAGACCCGAGAGGTGCACTACAAAGCAGGTTTAACATAGCTAGGCTTTCTTTCTGTTAGCTGGCTTAACAAAACCTGAAACCCAAAACAGAAAATGGGCAACATGATGGTGGTTATCAGCTTTCTTTGTTTACGAGGTTTCCGTTTTAGACTCTTTGCACGTTCACATAAAAGAGGGAGAAGCATCTTTTGATTATTTTTCCCACAAAATGGACAGATTATGAACTAAAGCTACAACGGCAAAAAGCCATTAATCTTGCATTGTAGTTCACCCCTCCAAATAGCTTATAACAGTGTGTTTTACTACCAAAATGTCCAATTATGTGGGGAAAAAGGAAAGTCACGTTGGCACAGACTTGCAGGAAATCACATCACAGTCGTGTGAATTTGTCAGTTTGGAAAGTTAGCGAGCTCGTCTTTCCCGATGTTCCCTCCGCTGAGGATGCACACGACGTTCTTGCCCTCCAGCCGAGGTATCTTGTTGTTAACAACGGCAGCAAAGGCAGCAGAGCCCGACGGTTCGACCACGAGCCCGGATCTGTAGAGCGTGGACACCGCTGCCTTGATCTCCTCATCGCTGACCAGGACGATCTCCTCCACGTAGCGCCGGCACAGCTCGAAGGGCAGCCTGCCTGGGATGCAGAGAAAAGGGAGAGTCAGTTCAGCAACAAGAAGAGTTCGTTTTTCAGTGTCTAAAAGCAAGAGAGCAGATGTTGGTTGTACCTGCAAAAGGTGGTGCGAGGCCCGAAGCAATGCTCTTGGCGTCCATCCCCACTGGCTTCTTCTCGATGAAGCTCTTGTACATCGTGCAGGCTGAGTTTGAACAGAGACACAAACTCACAGCAAATCCTGTGCAAGTTTTACAGAAGGTGCCGTTGGTGAGGTTTTACCTCCTTCTGGCTCCACGCCGTAGATCCTGGTGTCATCGCAGCCCGACAGTTTGATGGCAGCAGCTACTCCGGCCAGCAGCCCTCCTCCTCCGCAGCACACCACCACCACATCAGGCTCAGGCACCACCTCCAGCAGCTCCATACCGAGGCTGCACACATGAAAGTGAGATTTAAAAAAATCAGCATCAGCACGTGTGAATCCACTTTCAGCCGTGAGCGCACCTGGCATGTCCTGCGATTAGATCCAGGTCGTCGTAGGAGTGCAGGAAGGTCATGTTGTCCTCCTGGACGCAACGGTTCACCACGTTCATCAGGCAGGAAGTCGGGACTCGCTCCACCTCCACGCCAAAACTCTGAGGACAAGAATGACCAAATATCAACTCGTAGAGCAACGTCGGAGTTGAATTTATTGAAAATGTTGACACATAGCTACAGCAGTTCACGTTTTGCAATGATGTAAGTTTTCTGATTTCAGAAATGTGACTTTAAATCATGCCGGGCTCGTTTCTGATGCAGCAATAATCTGATTACATGTAGAATAGTTATACTAATGTAACATACAGTATCTGGTTTTCTGTGTTTGGGTACTTAAAGGTAGTGCCAGTACTTTTTTTGTTCACATAAACAAAGTCGTAACAATGACAATCAACATCCTAGGAAACACAAATAACTTCTACCTCTGTATGGAACTCTCAAAAGTTGTTTCTTTTTCAGTCGGATGTACGGATAAAAATTTGCAAGAATTTTCTTCATCGCGAGTTAGCTGGAGCCTATTAAATGTCACAGGAGTCTTTGTCATGGTGCTCGTTGCTAGCTAAACATCCTCACTGCTCTCTGTTTGCCAACATGGAACTGCTCATAGTCTGAGCTATGGCCTCCTCTGGTTGCTACAGTATTAAACAACAAGAGGCTCCACCTGGTGGCGCAACCAGGTACTACAGCTAATGTAAAATTGTTTTCTCCCTTTTTCGTTGATGTATTTTTAATCAGGTGATTATTAATGGAAATTAATCGATTAATTATTATTCATTAACATCACTAGTCAGGTGGCAGGTGACGTCCAACCTTCTTTTTGCGTTTCGAAACTGTGCGTTATAGGCTCTTTAGCTTCTTTGGTATAATTTAGTCCAGTCTACATATAAAAAAATTTTAGATCTGGATCTGGTTTTATTTGTCCCGGTAGTGAAATCTTCTTTTTTGCATTTTCACAACTATAATAAAGGTTTCACAAATCAGAAAATGTGTCTTTAAGAGTCTGTAGCCACTGTGAGACAACATAGTTCAGCTTTAAACAGCCTAAACAGAGTTATTTTGGATCTGGATTTGATCTAATGTGGTCTCTGTACAAAAAAAAGGGAAATTCAGGGAGTGTGTTCTATAAACTCTTCTGTCTCTGTAGGGAACCCTAGTACAGATTTTACCTGTATATGTCTGTATGCAGCAGTTTTAGACGTTGACTTGGTCTAAAGTGATCACGGATGCAAAATCTTCATTATTTTGCATTTTCACAATTACAACAGGTTTCACAAATCAGGAACTGTGTTTTTCAGACCTCTGACCTGAATGAGGATGGATCTGGACTCTGGGGCAGTTTCTGGCATCACCACCTTGCCCTTCGACCCGTAGTGTTTCGATGCGTATGCAAAAGACTTCCCATAGTTTCCTGCAGACATGGTGACAAAATGTCCCCCACTCGGCCTCCTGGCGAACTGATTGGCCACCCCTCTGATCTTAAAGGACCCTGTCATTCAAAAAACACCAAATCAGTGCAGAACGGCGAGACGCTGTTGCGTGACACTGCCAGTGCTGAATCAACCAACCGGTTCTCTGCATGTTTTCCAGTTTGATGTGGATGTTGCAGCTGATGCTGAGAGGCAGGGTGGTCTGGCACCAGGCGATCACGGGCGTGTTGATGACACCCAGCGGGCTGCTCCTCACCGTCTCTCTGGCTTCTCGCAACAGATCCAGAGTGACGGCGTCTGCAGAAACTTCAGCCATCTGTATCAGAAACACACAAGCATCATTTATGTTGTGTAGGAAGCATTTCAGTCTCACAAAAAAAAAATAAAAAATCTAAGTTAGCCTCCTATTTGATAGTTAAGGGAAAAGTTAAAGGGAACCCAATTGTACTATTATTAGATAAATCCTACTTCTGTTTGAAACCCACTTTCAAGTTTGTAAAATCTCCATTGAAAAACAAAAAAAGTTAGATTTCTCATTTTTAAAACCAATATACAGCGCCCTCCATAATTATTGGCACCCCTGGTTAAGATGTGTTCTTTAGCTTCTACTAAATTCAGTTCTTTTCTCAATAATATAGGACCACAATGAAAAAAAAGAGGAAAATTCAACCTTTAATTCAAGTGCATTTATTCAGTGTGAAAAAAATCCCACATTAAAAATTAATTCTTTTACATCAAATCATGTGTGCCACAATTATTATCACCCGTGATGTTAATACTTTGTACAACCCCCCTTTTGCCAACCAAACAGCACCGAATCTTCTCCTATTATGTTTCTCAAGATGGGAGAATACAGAAAGAGGGATCTTTGATCACTCCTCTTTGCACAATCTTTCTACATCATCCAGCGACCTGGGTCCTCTCCTCTTCAGCTCACTCCACAGGTTTTCAATGGGGGTTGAGGTCTGGGGGCTGAGATGGCCATGGGAGGACCTTGATTCTGTGTCTGGTGAACCATTTCTGTGTAGTTTAGCCACATGTTGAGGGTCATCATCTTGCTGAAAGACCCAGTGACGACCCATCTTCAGCTTTCGTGCAGAGGCCACCAGATTTTGATTTAAACTGTCCTGGTATTTCAAAGCGGTCGTGATGCCATGCACCCTAACAGGGTTCCCTCTGGAAGAGAAACAGGCCCACAGCATCACGGATCCTCCTCCATACTTCACGGTGGGCATGAGGTGCTTTTCTGCATACTCATCTTTTGTGTTCCGCCAGATCCACTTGGAGTGTTTGTTGCCAAAAAGCTGTTTAGCGAACTCCAGATGTTTGCGTTTATGATTGCAAGTGAGAAAAGGTTTTTTTTCCATGCACGCCTCCCAAACAGCTTGTTGGCATGTAGATGGTTGTTTTGGAGACTTTGTGACCCCAAGACGCTGCCATTTGTTGCAATTCTTTAACAGTGAGCTTTGGAGAACCTTTCATTGCTCTTACCATCCTCCTCACTGCGCCTGGTGGCAAAACAACCTTGCGTCCTCGTCCAGGCTTGTTGACCACTGTTCCAGTCGTTTTAAACTTCTTAATGATTCCTCTGACAGTAGACACGGACAGGTGCAGGCGAGTGGATATTTTCTTGTACCCGTGACCTGACTTGTGAAGGTCAACACACATCTGCCTGACTTGAACGATGTGTTCCTTTGTCTTTGCCATGTCGAAGAGCGGATAAGAGAAATGGCCTCTGTGTCACATCATATTTATACCCCAGGGAAACGGGAAGCGATGAATTACTAATTAAATGTTCCTAGATACTCTGATCAACTTTGTAAACGACTGTAGAAATGAGAGAAATACTTCAGTTACATTTATTTCCTAGGAATTGTTGGAGGTGCCAATAATTGTGAAATTTTATGAAAAATAATTATTTCTTCGTCTGGGATTTTTTTTGATTCCCCTTAAAATTCATTTGAGTTGAAGGTCACATTTTTCTACAAATTTCAGTGTGAGAGGATGCTTCTGCAATAGAGATTGAATTTATTTTAAGGCTTTTAACACATCTTAACCAGGGGCGCCAATAATTATAGAGGGCGCTGCATATAGACGGTTTTGCCAGTGAAGCTAAAGTGTCGATGAATCACAGGCTCCGGTTTGTGAAGCCTTCCTGCTATTTGCAAAAATGCAATAAAGGACCTCCCTTTACTGCTTTTTAAAAATCCTTTCAGATGTAGCCCTCATCTAACCAAGATCTAGTCTAGATTTAACTCAGCTAAGTGTAGTGGTTTTAGATCTGAACCTGGTTTAATGCGGTCTGGATGCAAAAGAAGCAGTGCAATCACCCCTTTGTACATTTTTATAAATAAAATAAAGATTTCACAAATCAGAGATTGTGTTTTATAAAAGTGGAACAATCTAGTCCAGACTTGACCCATCTAAATATAATGGTTTAGGGTGGGCACCTGGTCTAATGTTGTCTATCTGCAAAGAAATAAAAATATTGAAAAATATACTGTAAGACTGTGTTTTGAAGGCTCACCAGCCTCTCTGAGAGAATCCAGCCCAGATTTGACTGGTCAGTGTCTGGTCATTTTAGATCTGGGCTTCGTCTAATGTAGTCCATCCATCCATTAAGTATACACCACTTAATCCTCATTAGGGTCATGGGGGGCTGGAGTCTATCCCAGCTGACTCAGGGTGAAGGCAGGGGACACCCTGGACAGGTCACCAGTCTATCACAGGGCTACACTTAGAGACAGACAACCAAGCACACTCACATTCACACCTACGGACAATTTAGAATCACCAATTAACCTCAACATGCTTTTGGACTGTGTGGGAGGAAGCCGGAGAACCCGGAGAGAACCCACGCTGCACGGGGAGAACATGGAGACTCCACATGCAAACGCTCACTGGGACGTGAACCAGCAACCTTCTTGCTGTGAGGCAACAGTGCTAACCACTGCGCCACCTTGCGGCCCTAATATAGTCCAAGTGTTAAAGGAAAAAAGGAGTGAATTTCCATTTCACAAATACAAAGGTTTTCAGTAGGTGTGTTTTAAAGAGTCCATAGCCCTTTGGCAAAATGTATTCAGAATTTGACCAGTCTGTATAATGGTTTTAAATTGGACCTCTTGTATGTTAGTGCAGATGCAAATAAATAAATGAATAAATAAAGCAGTGAATTTTGCTTTACTGCAACAGACAAAAGAAGACAAAAAGTTGGTTTTAGTCATTATAAAAGATTAACTTAAAATGTCTCCCACGGTTTTATGTAATTAAAATGTGGGATAAATAGAGAATAAGTCGCTCAGCGCTGTAATAAGTCCAATTTCCCTTTTCCTGAGACGCAAACTTTGGACAGCAGCAGTGAACATAAGCGGAGTCCACCAAGTCCACATTTATTATAGAGAGCTAAACGTCGAGCCTGTTCTTTACAAAAAAACAAAAAACAAGCTTTAAATGAACCAAAAACACATGTTTCGTGCGTTAGGACTATTTCCCCCTCACCTTATTATTTGTCTGCCTGTTATTCTGCCGCTCCGTGATGTTTACGGTGCTCCGGCGTTTGCGGCTCCCAGCTGCTTAAAGGTTCCGGTTCAGAGCGCGTTTCAGGTCGGACGCTTTTCCTCCCCGGACCGTAAAAATGGCGGCGCTTGTGAGTGGCAATGGGGAGCAGTTAGCCACATTTTTGTGTGTTACATAAGAAGAAAAACGTGTCAGTTGAGAGTGTTATAATTGAAAAACATGGGTTTGATGCGGCACGTCGTGTGCGCCATGTCCGGCGGCGTGGACAGCTCTGTAGCGGCTTTACTGCTGAAGAGAAGAGGTGAGGAAAGTCACACCTGGAGTCACCTGTCCATGCTGAGCAGCCATAAATCAGTCTACCCGAGGGAGGAAATATGCTAAAAAGGCTAAATATTATGCTTCTGTGCTCAGTTAGTAAATTAAAGTTTTTGATTTGGTGTCTGTTTGTGAAGGTTACAGTGTGACAGGAGTGTTCATGAAGAACTGGGACTCTCTGGATGAGAGTGGGACCTGTGCTACAGAGAGGGACTGTGAGGACGCCTACAGAGTCTGTCAGAGCCTGGACATCCCCTTCCATCAGGTGTCCTATGTCAAGGAGTACTGGCATGACGTTTTCAGGTATGACCACCATATTAAAATTAGGAGCCAATGATTAGTGTTAAAGTCACATCTGTAGTGATTTGAATGAACTATGCACATCCACTCATATCATTGATTTGAGGTACTTCTGTTTTACTTAAGTGTTTCCATCTCCATCATTTCTCATCGACTTTATAAATCCCCTTCACAACTTTTCAAAGGAAAATATTGGACTTTTTACTCAGCTACATTTGTCTGACGGCTTTCGTAACTCTGAAAATGAAGATTTTAAACCGTTTTTAAAAAGGATGGTTGCTCTGGGTTCAAGGTGAGTCTACAGAAAAAATGGATTTAACATGTGGCATGGCCAAGAAAGTCCAGCTCCACGATAAATTACTGTTCAGAAAAGTAGATTTATTCTGTTTAGGAGTTGAACAATGACTGAAAAAACTAGCAAAACACCTGTTTCCATCCTAAAAGTTTGCTAATAAATAAAAACAAAGGTTTATAAAAGGACAGGCTTTGGCTCCTAAACAACACCACAAGAAAACAGAAGCAAATAAAAAGGGTTTCTCATTCTTACACTACTACTTAAATGCTCATACATACAAGTGTGCCTAAACTTCTCACATGGTTACATTTCAGTAAATGTCCCGATCATCCAAAATGTCAGCAAAACTCAAGGATTTAGAGAAAAACTGAGAACAGAATTGTCAATCCGGAGCTGGTCTTTTCTTGTTTCCTCTCATATAGTTCATCACACAACATGTCAGATATGTCTAGTGTCCCTGTGTGTCACAACTGGATGTAAAGTATTTCAAAAAAGCAATAACAGCAAATCACTGCTGTGGTAATTGTTAAAAAGTGGTTATTTTTGTGCATGACTTTAACTTGTAGTGGAATAGTTTGACATTGCTGCATCAGAACTTTGGCTTTGGAAATGATTCGTATATTTCTTCCACCACTGTACATCTGTCTTCTTCCGTCTGCAGTAATCTGTTGAAGGAGTACGAGAAGGGCGGGACACCAAACCCAGATATCATCTGCAACAAACACATCAAATTCAACCATTTCCACAAGTACGCCATCGACACTCTGGGTACGTTGCTGATCAAACAGCGAAATCACTCTGCTGCTGAACCTTTATTTAATTTGTTTGTAACTTTTTAAGCAGAAGCCAGAATCGAGAACAGAAGACTTGTTAAATAAGAAATTTGATGATTGTTTTGCTGCTGTTGGTGTAGGCGCTGATGCCATGGCAACGGGCCACTACGCCAGGACGTCCCAGGAAGACGACGAGGTTTTCCAGCAGCCACACATACCTCCACCTACCACACTGTTCAGGGATCGATTTGAGATCAGAAACCGTGAGTGTCTGACTGTCGTTGCGTTGTTTTTTGATTCGCCAAAACTTGCAGCTCTTTTCCTGGTTTGTTCTTGTGCTCCTGATCTCTGTTTTCCGCTGCTTGATATTTGTTTGAACTCATTTGTCTGTGATTCTTTACCAGCTGTGAGGTTGTACATAGGAGCCGACCGCCTCAAAGACCAAACCTTCTTCCTCAGTCAGATCTCACAAGAAGCCTTGAAACGAACCATGTTCCCGCTCGCCGGACTCACCAAAGAGTTTGTGAAGAAGATTGCTGCTGAGGCAGGGTTTGACCATGTGCTGAAGAAGAAGGAGGTGTGCACGAGACCCAAAGCTGTTAAGAACGACGTGTTTATTTTATATATGATGTGATTTGATGCACAATAATCCCAATTAATGATCAAACTTTGTTTTTTAGAGCATGGGAATCTGCTTTATAGGAAAGAGGGAGTTTGAAAACTTCATTTTAGAGGTGAGAAGCAAAACTTTACACATAACAGTTCAGCAAAATTCACTTGTTTACTTTTATCTTTTTCTTTGATTTTTTTTTATTGGCTCAGATAATGATAAACCTCCACAACTTGTTTTTTTTCTTTTAATTTTTAGTATCTAGAACCAAAACCAGGGAACTTTGTCTCCATTGAAGACGGGACCGTTTTGGGAAAACACAGAGGTACGTTTGTCGTTGCTGACATTCTCAAATTACAAGTATACGTTATCAAATGGACAGAATACAGTGACTTTAATTGTGTTACACATAAGGGCCATAAAACACGAAGTTAACAGAATGTTTTCTGTATTTTTATTTTATTTTTTTTGCGTTAACAGCCTCTGTATCCTCATATTTACTCTTGAAGTAGTCTTTTCATTTTCTTTCTTTATTGTGTCTATTCAGGTTGGTTCACTCTGACGTTGGGCCAGAGGGCGAGAATAGGAGGGTTGAAAAAATCCATGTTTGTGGTGGACAAGGACATTGTTACTGGAGATGTGCTTGTGGTGAGAAAATGTACCCTTTTTTAAAAAATTGAAATTGATAAAATCTTCCTTGCCTTTAGTCGTCTCTTACTCTGAAGCATGTAGCTTCTTTTTTACACTTAACTCTAGGCCCAGGTTTACAGTCTCTCACACTGAAACGTACATTTTTCTATGACTTGCAGATATTTTTGAAATATTTTTACAGCATAAAACAGAAAATGTAACTCTCTTAAGGAGGCAGCATCTTTGCGTTGTTTCTCCTTTGAAGAAATGCACAGTTGCATTTATTATTTCCGTATACTTTGCTCACTTTTTTGGGGTGGAGTCGCTTGTGAAACACCACAATCTTTGCTTTTACTTAATCCGTCAAACCTCTCATTGACTCAGGCTCCTGACACCAATCACCCGCATCTTTACCGCGACACGATGCGAACGGATCGCTTCCACTGGCTGTCGGTCGACCCGCCTCCCGAACTCGTCAGAACCCAGATGTTGGAGTGTCACTTCCGCTTCATCCACCAGATGCCGCTCGGTGAGTTTTTCAGGACGCATAAACTGGTTATTAAGACCAGATTTAATTCAAACGTAGAACACCAATGACTACGTGTTTTCCAGTTCCCTGCACGGTCACTCTGAACATGGACGGCACCGTGTGGATCTCGCTCTCTCAGCCGGTCAGAGCTCTGACACCCGGACAGGTAACAGCCAACACACCAGACTGACTGAATTCAGCGTGATCGTCCGTACAGGAGTGTAAATTAGTTTTTTTCTGTCCCAGTTCGCTGTGCTCTACAAAGGGGACGAGTGTCTGGGCAGCGGGAAGATCGTCCAGCTGGGCCCCAGCGAACACACGCTCCAGAAGGGCCGAGAGCGCCTGGTAGCCGCCGCACAGCACAAAGAGCAGCCGACGCCTGAACCGACCAGCTGAGGCGGTCGTGGAGGAAATGTCCGGTACACTAGCTATAGAGCGCCCTGTTGGTTAGAATACACACTCTGTTAAACAGGTATTTGTAAGAGGTGCCTCTGATGGAGGAGTTTTTAAATGTTCACAACAGTATTTGAAACACAAGGACAAAAGGGTCGATGTCTGTGTTATAAGGTTTTCTTCTTGGTGCTCAGATAAACCACCACTATCCAGCCAAAGTGTGTTTGGGATGGAGATTTGATGCTAATACGATGGTCTACTCTTTAAAAGTAACCTCACATTGAAATTGAGGATTTTACAGATCTGTACCAACACCTCAGCTGCCATCTTTAGGTACATGGTGTCTAATTCTACCTGTAATAAACAGTACATGTGTTTTTATTGGACCTCCTGGATTGAATTCGTGCTGCTGTTAATGTTTGCTTCGTCGCAAACAGGAACTGGCTCTTTGAAATGTGCTTATTTAAGGGAAACAGCTGTTGTGATGATGTTGCACTTGATCTGATCTATGCATTTTTGGAGTGCAGTGTGTGTTTTTTAGAAATAACTGTCGTGTAAGACACGCTGGAGTGTCATCAGGAGAAAACAAAGAGTTTTTCTCTCCTTTGAGCCAACATATGCAGCCTTGATGTCTCCTGTAGTTTATGTTTTTAAAAGATACTGTAGTCTGAAGCCTTTAGAGTTGCTCTGTTTAATTGTAATAATAAGAAAAGTGTGACTAACTCCAGTTCTGGAGGGTTGTCAGTCAGCTAGGCTACAAGTTTTGTTCACTCAGACTCACCTGAGAGTCAAATTAACTCTAATATTCTTCTATTTATGACGTGTGATGGGTAACAAACTTCTAATTTCCTGCACTTATTCCTACTGTTTGTGATGCTGCTCATGTATCCGTGACTCTTCCGGTCTTCCTTTTACTTTTTCCCTGAACTTATACAAACCTCAGTTCTTTTGTGGCGACGTTTCAAACCCAGCTGGTTTTCTGTCAGACACTGGTCACTGCATTGATGCCACAAAACAAGACTGTTTCTTTGTGAAGTTATGGTGAAAAAAAATCGGGCTGCAACTATGTTTATCGTCAACCAATCTGTGGATTATTTGCTCGATTTATTGATTCGTTGTTTGCTCCATAAAATGGTGAAAAATGTTGTTTACTGTTTTCCGAAGCCCAGGATGACGTCTTTGCGTGTCTTGTTTTGAGCCACACACCAAAGATTTTCAATTTACTGTCAAAAAGGAGGAAAGAAAGCAGAAAATAATCAAATTTAAGAGGCTTGAATTAGAGAATTTTTCCCTTTCTCTCATAAAAAAAGCTGCTCAAGCTGATGAATCGATTATCAGAATGGTCGCCAGTTACAGTAATAATTGACAACTAATTTAACAATCGTTGCAACTCTACTAAAAACAAAATACAGTATATTTCGAAGTTAGTTAAGATACACTTCCCATTATGTTCTGTTGTTCTCACAGTGAGTTTATGGTTATGTTTGAAACGTCAGAGTGGCAAGAAACTCCTTTAAATAACAAAACCAGTGCCTTTCGCAGCAGTCTGGGAGATAATCCGAGTTCCCAAATTACAAATTGTACAAACCTGGAAGTCGAAGAGCGAATAAATAAACCTAAAATCTGATGTGTTGACTCGTTTTTCATTTGCCTGCATACCCTAGTAGTCCATCCAGAGTTGTTATATCTTTGGGAAAGTTCAGTAAAATATGCAGCAGCTGTTTGTTGGTTGGTATGAAGTTAGTTCACCACATGGGGGCGCTATTATACAAGATTAACCCTCAGTTCAGCCTGTGATGATTCTGGAGGCTTTACACAAACAACACACTGTAGATCTTAACGAATCCTAATGAGAGTCACGACCCCTGTTTATTTATAGGAGTCTGACATCCGCAGATTGTCTGTTTTCCCAGAATAATCACGTTTTGCACCTTTTTTTTTTCTTCTTTTTTTGAGAATCTTCCCGCTTTAAAATGGGTTTCTTTTATTTCTAAGAGGGGGAGAAAAAAAAAACCTAGTGTGATCGGATTACAGAGAGCATGAAAGTTCAAACGCTGATAAGAATGTGGAAAAATGGGACAAAAAGTTCCCATTTAGTCGTGCTTTCAAGTGACAGCGGAAGATCCAAAAGCAAAATGAGGAAAAAGTCAAGACAGTAAAGTTAGAATCAGTAGAAAAATGATCAAATTCTGATTTTGTGTTGGTTTTTAAGCCTGTTTTGAAGAACAATAACATTTTCTTGGATCCCATTAGGCAGCGATTTGGAATGACAGTAAAAGTTGCATAAACAAAAATGAGAGGGGAGACAGGTAGGTTGCTGAATAATATGATCAAATTATGCATCTCATGTTGTTTTCTAAACCTGTTTTGAAGAAGATAAAGTTGTCTGGGATCCTATTGAGCAGTGCTTTTAAGTGACAGTGAGAATTCCAAAAGCAGAATAAGAAAACGGTTCGATTCCTTCAAAAAATAAGATCAGATTCTATAGTTCTTGGATTGTTTTTAGACCTGTTTTGGAGAACCATAAGTTAGCCGGGAACCCATTAAGCAGTGGTCATAACTTACAAGGTAAGTTCAAAAAACAAAACGAGGAAAAACAGTTTGATTCACTACAAAAATGATCAAATTGTGTATTTTATCTTCGTTTTTTAAACCTGTTTGGAAAAACGGGGCCGTTTTTTCCCTTTATCCTGCAACGTTTAGAGTACACCGACCTTTAGAAAGTGTCCCCATGAGGAACACAATCATATATACTAATTAACAGATGTAATGAGCTGTAATGTTTCATGTATTTTCTGGAAACACTCATTTGGATGATGACATGTGACTCTCAGCAGCAACTTTTTTAACTTTTTATTTTATTTTTTTAATTGCAGACTTGAGGTCTTGGTTCAGCCACTTTTATGTCTTTTTTTATGTCCCATCACTGCTCATAACTACTCCAACACAACAGTTGAAGAGGGAGCCACTCTCAAACTGGCATTGGGAATGTTCCCCCAGCCTTCTCCTCCTTATTGGAATAACAATGCACTTGCGCGCATTGGTCACCCGGTCAGTGCCACTTCCTAAATCTCCATGAGAAAAAAAAAAAAAAAAAAGCCTCCCCCGTGAAAGCGTCCCGGAGGGGGAACACAGCAGGTTTATGGTAATCAGCCTCTGAGGAGGAGAGCAGGAGGAGGAGGAGGAGGAGAGCCACGGAGCCATTTTGTACTCATTTTAAACTCAGTGTGGGTTCACGCAGCCGCTGCGCGCCGTGGATACGCCGAGAGACTATGGATACTGAGCGTCTTTTTCCACGTTAAAACTCCACAATGAGGGATAAAAGTAAAGCGCGGTGCTGGGAGAGGGAGAGTTAATGCGTTTGCGGAGGAGTTTCGGTGAAGTTTCAGTGGGATTCGGCAGGTTTTACAAGCATGGAGCTACCGATGTGTTGGATTTGGGTTTGTGTCCTGTTCGCCGCGCCGCTCGCGGGATGTTTGGAGATGCACCTTTCGGAGACTTTACAGCCCGGGAGCCTTCTGGCGAACCTGTCGCTCGGACCTGGGTGGACGTACAAACTTGACAGGACTTTATCACCCAAATTCATTCAGAGTTTCTTCCAAGTTGAGAGGCGCGACGGGCTGATCCGTCTGTCCCGGAAAGTTCAGTGCGCGCACACGCCGAGGAACCCAGCGTCTGTTTATTTCAGAACGTGTTCCTCCGCATCTGGAGACGTTATTCTGACGCATTTTAACGTCTTCGTCCACGGCCAGGACTGTTTTATTAAATACAAGAGAAAGAAAGCGTCAGGTAAGCCAGACGTTCACATTAAAGTCCGCTCAAAACTGGAGGCAACTCCCTGCTCACCTGCAGGTACACTGCTTTTGAATGTAACACAACTTTTGCCTGCTTTTACGCGGAGCAGTTCCCTTTTGGACACTGACTGCACTGGAAAAGACTTTGTTGCGGTGTTCAGGCAGAGGGATTTGTTCCTGGCCACTGACCTGTGCTTTGCGCACAGGGGACAGCCCGAGGTGGATTTGCACTGCGCCTTGCACAGCTCTGCAGGCAGCCGGCTCTCTGTGCAGCTGAGTCTGACGCTTGTAAAAGTGCCTAAACATCATGGATCTGTATCTGAAAGCGTCCAGAGAAAGTCTGGGATCCACAGGGGGAAGCGACAGGTGAACACATCCCCCCAGTTTCAGCTGCCCAACTATCAGGTGTCTGTGCCTGAGAATGAGCCTGCAGGAACTGCGGTTATAACCCTGAAAGCTACTGACCCGGATGATGGAGAGGCAGGGAGGCTGGAGTACAGCATGGAGGCCTTGTTTGACAGGAGGTCCGATGACTTTTTCGACATTGACTCCCAAACGGGAAGCATCACAACCGTCCAGGCGCTGGACAGAGAAGTCAAAGACACCCATGTTTTCAAAGTTACTGTGACTGACAACGGCACCCCCAAAAGATCTGCCAACTCGTACCTCACTGTCACTGTGAGTGACACTAATGACCACAGCCCCATATTTGAGCAGAATGAATACCGGGTCAGCATCCGGGAGAACGTGGAGGTGGGCTTCGAGGTGATGACAATCCGGGCCACTGACGGCGACGCTCCCTCCAACGCCAACATGATTTATAAGATTGTGAACGGCAAAGGAGTCAACTCTGTGTTTGAAATCGACCCCCGGAACGGCCTGGTGAGGATCAGGGAGCGGCCGGACAGGGAGACCCGGGCCCAGTACCAGCTGATCGTCGAAGCCAACGATCAGGGGAAAGACCCGGGTCCCCGCAGTGCCACCGCCACCGTTCACATCTCCGTGGAGGATGAGAATGACAACTACCCGCAGTTCAGTGAGAAGAGGTACGTCGTTCAGATTCCAGAGAACGTGGCGGTCAACACCAAAGTCATCCAGGTCGAAGCCACGGACGAAGACGAGGGAAACAACGCTAAAGTTCACTACAGCATCATCAGTGGCAACGTCAAAGGCCAGTTCTACATTCACTCCCCCACCGGCGTGATCGATGTCATCAATCCTCTGGACTATGAAATGATCCGGGAGTATAATTTGCGGATTAAGGCTCAGGACGGGGGCAGGCCTCCGCTGATAAATGGCACAGGGATGGTGGTGGTGCAAGTGGTGGACGTGAATGACAACGTCCCCATGTTTGTCAGCACGCCTTTCCAGGCCACTGTGTTGGAAAATGTGGCCATCGGTTACTCTGTGATCCACATTCAAGCAATCGATGGGGATTCAGGAGAAAACGCCCGTTTGGAATACCGGCTCACGGACACCACGCCTGGATTTCCGTTCACGATCAACAACAGCACAGGATGGATTACAGTGAGTGAGGAACTGGACAGGGAGACCACTGACTTCTACACCTTTGGCGTGGAGGCCAGAGATCACGGGATACCTGTGATGTCCTCCTCCGCCAGCGTCAGCATCACGGTGCTGGATGTGAACGACAACGTGCCCACATTCACCGAGAAGACCTACTCGCTGAAGATCAACGAGGACGCCGTGGTGGGGACCAGCGTTCTGACGGTGACGGCCGTGGATCGAGACGTCAACAGCGTGGTGACCTATCAGATCTCCAGTGGCAACACCAGGAACCGCTTCGCCATCACCAGCCAGAGTGGTGGCGGCCTCATCACCTTAGCCCTTCCTTTGGACTACAAACAGGAACGCCAGTATGTGCTGACGGTCACCGCCAGCGACGGGACTCGCTACGACACCGCCCAGGTGTTCATCAACGTCACGGATGCCAACACGCACCGGCCCGTCTTCCAAAGTGCCAACTACCAGGTGATGCTCAGTGAGGAGAAACCGGTGGGCTCCACGGTGGTGGTGATCAGCGCGACGGACGAGGACACGGGGGAGAACGCTCGCATCACCTATGTGATGGAGGACAATGTTCCTCAGTTTAAAATCGATCAGGATTCTGGTGCCATCACGACACAAATGGAAATAGACTATGAAGACCAGGCCTCCTACACGTTAGCCATCATTGCTAGAGACAATGGCATTCCTCAGAAGTCTGACACCACCTATGTGGAGATTATCATCCTGGATGCTAATGATAATGCTCCTCAGTTCCTCAGAGACAGGTACCAGGGGACTGTTTTAGAAGATGCACCTATCTACACCAGCGTTCTCCAGATTTCTGCTTCGGACAGAGATTCGGGCTCCAACGGCAGGGTGAGCTACACGTTTCAAGGCGGGGATGATGGAGAAGGGGATTTCTTCATCGAGCCTTACTCTGGTATCATCAGAACCGCTCGCAAACTGGACCGGGAGAACGTTCCTGTTTACAATCTGAAGGCCTTTGCTGTGGACAGAGGGGTTCCACCTCTGAAAGCAGCTGTTCCTGTTCACGTCGTGGTCCAAGACATAAACGACAATGCTCCAGTGTTTGAGAAGGATGAGCTTTTCATTAATGTGAAGGAAAACAGCCCGGTGGGGTCAGTCGTGGCCCAGATCACCGCCACCGACCCGGACGAGGGCACGAACGCTCAGATCATGTACCAGATCGTGGAAGGGAATATTCCAGAGGTTTTCCAGCTGGACATCTTCAACGGCGACCTCACTGCGCTCACAGACCTGGATTATGAGACCAAAACTGAGTACGTCATAGTGGTTCAGGCCACGTCGGCGCCGCTGGTGAGCCGAGCCACCGTGCACATCCGCCTGCTGGACATGAACGACAACCAACCGGTGCTGCAGGACTTTGAGATTATTTTTAACAACTACATCACCAACAAGTCCAACAGTTTTCCTTCAGGAATAATAGGGAAGGTACCGGCTCATGACCCGGATGTGTCGGATAAGCTGCGGTACAAGTTCGAATCTGGAAATGAGCTCAGCCTGCTGCTGCTGAACGAAGACACCGGGGATCTGAGGCTGAGCAGAGATCTGGACAATGACAGGCCTCTGGAAGCGCCTATGACCATTTCTGTCACAGGTAAGCCGTTATTAAATTCTCAAGCTGCTTCTCTGTGGGAAAAAAAAGAAGAAAAATCCAGCTTTTATGTGTCAAACAAGGTGTTAAAATGTGTTAAAGGGTGGAAATTTGTGTCGCCGCGTGTGGGATTTGTCATCACACTGCAGAGTCAGTGTAGACTTCTGTGCTGATGGAGACAGAGGCAGGTTTCGGCTGCAGTGTTGACTCTGTGATCAGTTAAGTGTTTGCTGCAGGCTCTATGTGGGATCCGGTTGTGCTGCTTTTGTGCCGTTTGTGTGATAAATGTATTGTGTGCAAGTGGTTGGTCGGGGTAATAAAAAGGTGCTATTAGCGGGGCGCCCTTATAAACTGAGCTGCTTTGTTGTTGCAGATGTGGGTTTTCGTCCAAAGCTGAGACTCGCACACATGCAATGGAGTGCAAGTTTGTGTACGCTAATGATTTCCCCCCTCCTCCTCCTCAAAACTAAAACAGGCTGCGCTCTTTGAACATTTCTGAGCTTCTGTAGGTGCACTGCAGGGAGGTTGATGCACATCTTGTGGCAAGATGTTTCCCGGAGCGGCTCACCTTTCTGTCTTTGCAGATGTTTTTCACACGTGGCAGGTTTCGGTGACAAAGGTTTGGATCTGAGGGCGTTTGTACTGCAAGGTCATGGAGGAAGAATTTGAGTTTCTTTTTTTTTTTTTCCTCCCCAAGACAGAGGCAGACTTTGTTCTTTAAAGTTAAAGATTAGTCAAGTGCAAACACTTGGACATTCACACCTAAACTGGCAGGAGAGCGGCTACAGTACATGCACACACACACACACACTGTGCAAGTAAAGCGCTTTGACATTAATCAAGCAGGATAAATCCAACACCCTGACAGAATAACCAGCCTGTCACCTATTGACAGTTGGTTGCTCAACCTCCTCTTATTCTTCTCTCGCTCTCTCTCCGTGTAGATTAAACCAACACAGCCAGATCCATCCGCTCAGCTCTTTTCTTGTCACTCTGTCATCTCTCCAGTGGCTCAGGATTGCCAGCATGTCACACATACTGGAGGAAGACAAATGAGCCGTTGTGGTGTGGGGTGCACCGGGGCAACTCACTATCATAATTGGAGTTAATTTGAGGGTAGTCATGATAGCTGGGGGTAGTGATAGCAACTTTGCACGCAAGGAAATCCAAGTTTTAGTTCTTGATTATTTTTGCTAGAACTGAACCTGCGACACTGCGGTTCATCAGTTGGTCAACGGCAGTGCTTTAGCTAAAGGACTTTGTCTCGAACAGAAGGCAGGCAGTCCCGTTTTCTTTTAAGTGTTTTATGGTCGACCTGGAGAGCATCTGAGGGTCTTATAGCCCTCATTCGCTGCCTCTGCATTCTTGCTTGTCAATAACAGCTGACGAGTCTCCCTGACAACCGTGACCTCATGACGGTCCCAGTGGGGGCCAGACCTCTTCATTAACCGCAGAAACGCATACGTACATGTAGGCACGTGTTCATGCACAATTGAGCAGATGCTCACATGGAAGAGCAGCCCCGAACCTCTCTGTTTTCTACGGCTGGCCCTGATGTCAAGTGTTGGGTAACTATTACCGCTGATGTCTCGACCCTTTGACCTCAGGTTCTCGGGGAGAGGAAGGCCTGAGGGGGTCGGTGGTCTATCAGCACCTTAACAAGAAACAAGACGCTGATTGTGTCCCTCTTGACTCCCTCTGGTTTCCCCTCCTGAACTCCCATTATCTCTCTTGAAGCATTTTGTCTGAATTTGGGGTCATTATTTGGATGTTTTCTCTGTCGTTGTCTGGTGTCCAGATACTCTTAACTTAGACGATCCAAAGCCAAATCCAGGACCTGAGTCTGACCGTGTTGGATTTATATTGTTTAGGCATGGATCCAGTCCAGTTCCTATCAGATCTCTTTGGGTCTTTTCGGTCAAAAAGTTTCGATTGTGTCTCAGTTTTTGAAAACTAGATTTGCTCATTGGGTTTGGAAAAGTTTCCTGCATCTCTGTTCAAGGTATCTGGACATGTGATGACCTCTAGTCTGATGTTGTTGTCTTTTCAATTTGGTTTCCACCAATCCAGCCAACACAAAACTGAATTCTTACACGACTAAAGTGGTTTCTCAATTACATTTTCAGGGGAATGTTATTCAGTCTGGAAATAAACCTAATTAGTCAGTCTCAAAGTTTCATTTTCTCTTGTTTGTTTTCGAGTTTCAGCCACTTTCTGCTCAGGTTTAGCCACAACAGCTTTCTAGTTTAGGAAAATATCAAGCTTTCTTATACACCTTTACATGTTAGAGGCTTGGTTCGGTACCAAAATTATGAAAAATGTCACGGTTTGGGTTAAAGCACCACCCTGACTTCTCCATTTTCTGGGTTTCCATGGTGACAAATCCACCTATTATCTGATTGGTTTGCTGAAAAGAAGCGACGGTACAGCAATAAAAATAAATTGTAAAGATGATCAGAAACCCATTCATGACAAACATAATCTGACAGAATTCGGTTCAGCTGTGTAATTTTGTGGGAACTGGTTTGCTACCAACATCCAAGGTGCACCAGCTCCCCCGTTAACCCCGGTAATTACGCTTGATCAATAGAACAAAAGAGGACTGATTAAGGCAT